GAAAAGATTGTTTATTTTGTTATTTCGCCGCAAACTCGAGCATCTTGCCGCAAATTCAGTCATTGCATCAGCTTTGTTTAGAGCATTGTCTACATTAACGTCATCTGCAACAACATATTTACATCACTTAGAACTGTTTCATCTACTACAATATTGCATGCAGAGGCGCTATGTTGTATTTTTTGTGCAGGTAATTGATGCTCTTTGTAGTGTGGTAGGTTTGAAGACCCTGGACTGCATTATTTGCACAATAGTAACTATTTATGTTTTGTTAAGCATGGCGAGCAAGCCTAATATACTATCAAATGCTTCATATGGGGGAGGTCGGAATGTTGATGAAATGCATTTTGAACATACTTGAAAGAATAAAATTAAAATAACTTTCTAAGTACAAATACACATTGAAAGGCTTTTATGCTACACTATAAGAACTAAATTTAACGTGAATTTGACATGAACATGATTGACAAGAATTTTGTTGCTTGCTTGTGACTACGAACACAACTTCTTCACCACACCTTTAGAATTTTCTTAAAGCTCTTAAACAAAAATGTTAGTCAAATTGGTGTGAAATGAAGCTTGATGGCTTACATATTTATTGCAAAAAAATAAAAAAGAAAGAAAAAGGAAAAAGAATAAGAAAGATTATTATAATGGCCGCCTAATTAAAACACAAATTATGTGATGAAAAAATACTCTTCTTTATAAAAGATATAATGAATTTTCAGACTTATAGCAATTAACAATTGCCACCGTATTTGCAACTAAAGCCATGCAAAATGATGCATTGTGAATTTCAAAATCTCAAAACGATTGAATCTAGATGAGTTTAACTTACAAACATGATGAGGCAACTTTCAACTCAAACATAATACCTCAACAGTCATGCAAATACTTTGGAAGATTTATTATTTTGAAAAATGTGCCAATGATCACTTTTACAAGCTCACTGATAAGTGCACGCTTCTGCCAAAATAAAACTTGGATGAGATGACCTGAAAATAAAATTATGGCAACATTATAGCATCACAATCATTTTTTAAGAAATTTAAATTTTGAATCATTAGTTTGAAAAGCATGCCTTTTTTTCTAAAATACTTCCAATTTTTTTGAACATCATAAACTCTCTTTTGAAAACCTAAATTCATTAATTGGTTGCATGCACGTTCTTGAGTACGATGCCTACCTTAGAGGGCAATGTTGTAATTTTCACTTAATAATTCTGATTTTTTATGTTATGAAGATTGAAGTTGACAAAATTTTTTTTAAAAAATAATTTTAAATTCTCGTAAGCCCCCCTTGGCAATTCAAATCTTCCATGTCATAAAGATTGGGGTCAACAAGATTTGCCTTAAAGAATTATTTTAAATTATTTTTTTATGTTCTAATGTAAGAAACTCATCACTATAGTCTGTAAATCAAATACATGATCGCCGAATTTACTAAAGTATTCTATTTTTTGTTTACATACGACAATCAAAGCCTTTATAAAGAAAATTAATTTTAAAAATGCAAACTCTTGATATCAAGGCTATCAAGAATGTCGTGAGTTCTACTTCACCGACCCTTTCTCTTACATATGAGGTAAGTGTCAATAAGGTATGTGTTGCGACAATTATTTAAATGAATTCAATAGATATATAAATCATTATCCTGATCATCTACGAGCAAGCAAACAAAGTAAAAAATGTCCAAAATAACAAAATGAAATCATTCAATTACTCAGATGATGGTTATATGGACATAAAATCTTAGTTGGAGGTGATCTTTTGCCAAAAATGTTTCTAAACTCTAAAATAAATTATTTCAGACTCAAATCTAAAATAAAATGCAAAAAATTTAAAATTCAAAACAATAAGTGAAATCTATCACTTAAGGTAAAAAAAAAAAAAATCCATACATCCATACATCTTTTATAACAATAAGGTAAAAAAAAAAAAAATCCATACATCTTTTATAACAATTTGATGAGGATTACAAATTTCAGATGATGTAAGCTCGCAAAGGGCTAAACAGTATATTCAACCTAGTTTTTTGATCCATCTCAAAGTACTCATTCAATGAATGATGTGACAAATGACACAAAAATGGTTTTGATTGGGGTCTTTTGACTGGTTTGACTTTGCAAAATGACACCATTAAATTACAATTATAGCCAAAGCTTGTAAGTTTCTTAATAGGTCAAAGCTCTCAGATAATGAATTACAGAATCTATTTGATAGAGCATGGAGCATTATGTTTGCTAATGCCAACTTTTAATTATCTCCTTAGGTAAACATCCATTTTAGGGCTATAAGATTTTCTTGGATAATACAATTTATGACTATCAATTAGGTACTTTAATCAAATTGGATCAATGATTACTCCAAATCATGTTGACCTGAGATGATGCGAGCAGGTCATTTTTATTTCTATTTCTTCCACCATCTGCTTTAACAAATGCAATACATTCTTTACTTTAAAACTAAAGTTGCTGCTACTATACGCTAATCATTGAGCTAGCAATGATAAGCCTTTATCGATTGTTCTTTCTTGTTATTGTGAGAGATGATTAATCATTAGTGTAATCATTGCAGCTATAAGAAACTTAAAATCAATTTTAAAGGTCCTCAAATTATTTAAGATCCCCGAGACTATCTGTTTGACGATCCAAGCTTGATTTTGATACTTTAGTGTCCTGATGGAGCCTATGTTTAAGCAATTTGTCCCAAAAGCTCTTTCAACTCCACTTAAGAGTGAAATTGTGATTAAGGTTGAAGTTCCATGTTGACATTTGAAGTATTCTTACTTTGAAATTTCCTAAAAATTGTGATTTTACTTCCCAAAAATTTTAGGAGTAAAAAAAAATTTAGGCATAAATTTTAGCATTAGCAAATGATGTGGGGACTAATACACAATTACAAAATGTTTTTTGATGCAATTTTTTGTTTTAAAGTTTCCTAACATTTCAACTAGCAATTTCAAAATTGATTTTAAAATAATTTGAACTTTACATTTAGAAAACTATAGTCGAGTAGTATGGCTAAACAAACCCGCATCAAGAGGGCTTAGATTTGAGATCAAATAAGCTTAAATAGAGCACCTAGAAGCATGATTGAAAATTTCTTGTAGCTATTTAGTCAAACATACTCCAATATTTGTTGGCTTATAATAAAAAACACTGCTTTAATGAAACAAATTTAGTGACTCCGTAATCATTTAGTTGTAAGATTTTATGATATTGAGATTTCCAAACAAATATTAAATAATTAGGTTATTTGTACCAAATTTTCATAGCATGTGTATATATTTTTTGGCAAAAATAATTATAATGCCCCTCCAAAATATTATGGCCATCCCTTGCTCATTAAGGGAGGATTTTCGGTTGAGAATACTTTCGGGCATTGAGAATTTTAGAACTTCACTATCACTATTACCTAATACTATCAACTAGCACTAAACCCACTATTGTCGCCATCTGTTGCATGTCGTTTACTGGCATTATCAACCACTACTAACACAACTCGGTATTAGTTGTCTAAAAACATCAACACCTATTATTGTTCTTACTTAGTGCCAACGTCAATACGCTTGATGCCCTGGTGTCTCAATTTTTTTTATCAAAAGAATCAACTAGGCAATCATTGATCATCAATTGTGGCACGGCTTCTAATATTCTTTGTTATTTGTTGCTCATCTTCACCAACATTCAACATTCATTAGCCACCATTGTCCGATGCTTAGCATCCCAATCGTCTGATCCAACCTTCTATTAAAAGAATGACTAAGCATATCTTTAATTGTTGCTCAACTTTCGACGTTCTTCATTGGACCCAAAGCTAATTGATGATGGTGTTGTCTTCTCGGTTGCTTGGTTCACATCTTTTTATATTCTGCCTTGACTATTGCTCATTGTCAAATGATTGACGTTTCACATCAGTCAACCACTGGCATCTGATGTTCTTTAGCTATCAATTTTTAATGTACATCGGCTCTAGATGTCTTGGTCAATTACCACTATTGTTTAATATTCTCCTTTTCTGTCACTTGATCTCCTCTCCTATTAGAGAAGTTATGTAATTGGCTATTGTTTGACTTATGATGTCCCACATCGATCATTGCTTGATGTTTTAAAGAATCGAATTTGATGCTTGTTACCCACTATATTTAACGCGTGACTTTATGCCACTTGGTATCTTCTCCTATCAAAAGAACAACCTAGCTAACCATTGCTTGATGTTCACCATTCCTCATCAACTATCACTAAATGCTTGCTAACAACTGAAATTTCACGTTTTTTTGCCATTAATGTCTAATGACCACATTTTAATTGTACGCTCTTCTTATAAGGAGAGCAACAAAGCTGATTAACCACCATCACTCTACTTATGACTTTTTCATAGCTTGTCACCTAATGCCTACTAGCATTCAGCATTTGTCAACTATCGATGCTTGATGATTGTCTTATCGATCGTTCCATCTCCCTTACTACCTAAAAGAAGTCCAAACTTCTAACTCACCGTTGCTTGATGATAACTCGAAGGCCTCAAGGCTTTTGTTACCACCATGAGATATTTTGCATTGTTCATGTCTACTGCATTGTATTAATACATTCTCCAGATTTATGGAAGAGTTTCATTTGTAATCAGTGGCCCATATAAGTAGAATCGTTTTAACTATGTTAGGTTTTATGAATTTTTTCCTTTTTATTCCACAAAAGAATAAAAGTCTCCGGTCTCTTAATTTTTGTATATTGCTAAGAAGATAAACTCTTTCAATAATTTTCTCTATGGGAAAAGTTCATCCAGAACATGTAACTCCCCTTAATGTGTAGTCTGGGGTGGATTTGTAGTATTCAAGTTGTTGTTTTATAATATCATCACTGCTAAGATATACGAATATATGGGTTTCTATGGTATTATCATTTTGTTTGTGGTATTATAGGGTGTTGTCATGTTAAATAAAGGAAAAATGTTTTCCTATAACCTTTTCCAAGTTGAAGTTTGTTTTTGCCACTTTAGATATCAGGCGATTCCCCTGATAATGGTAAAGGAAAAAGCAATGAAGATTGTGTGAGAGTGACCTATGGCTTTAGTCTTCTGAAAGGGAAGGCCAATCATCCGATGGAGGATTACCATGTTGCCAAATTTGTACATGTGAAGGGACATGAAATTGGTTTATTTGCCATCTTTGATGGCCACTTGGGAGACAAAGTGCCTCAATACTTACAGAAGCATTTGTTTGATAATATCTTAAAAGAGGTCGGCATTTGACAGTACTTTGCTTTTCGCTCTAATGATGGCCTTTCTTGGCTATAATATTTACTATGACAGCATCAAAATAATCATGCTCTGTATTTCTGTTTTAGGAAGAATTCTGGACCCATCCAGAGAAAGCCATTTTAGAGGCGTATGAGAAGACAGATGAAGCAATTCTTTCTCAAAGTCCCCAACTGGGACGGGGTGGATCTACTGCTGTTACAGCCATTCTCATTGATGGAAGGAAGCTTTGGATAGCAAATATCGGTGATTCGAGAGGAGTTTTGGCGGCAGATGGGAAGGCATTACAGATAACAGTCGACCATGAACCAGGCAAAGAGAGGTGCGATATTGAGACAAGGGGAGGATTTGTCTCGAACATGCCAGGTTGTCTAGATTAGCTTGTTTCCAATTAAGTTTTTATTCACTCCAAGTAAATACTTATAACCATCGTCTCATTTTTATGGTAGTTTTTAAATATTTTTTTAAATTTATATTTCTATAAATATCACCCCCATGAATTACATTTAGCTGGACTATAGGTTTTGAAATCAAATGAATAATTCTTGATTGTAAGACTTGAGAAAGCATACAAAATGGAGCGTCTAAAGAAATCTCTTGGAGATTAATAGCAGTTCTTGAAGTTGGAAGTCTACTTCACGCTATGACAGGCTTTCACAACTTTCTGTTATTGCTTCTCTGATTCAGATTTGTTTTCTTAATATGTTTGACCTCTATTTTATATAATAGCAATTATATAGCTGGGCTAAGGTGAATCATTTTTTTTGTTTCTGTACTTAAATTCTTTTCAATAACTTTTTGTTATTATGCATACTTATGACTTTCTTCAATGCTCCAACTTACTTTAGAAGCTTCACAATTATCATTTTTTTTTTTCATTATTCTCCTTTTCTTAAATGCAAAGGCTGGTTACACTAAGATTGTTGAAGAATAAACAATGCAATTAATGAGTAAGTATGTGATTAATGACCATGTTGAGTGATAAATAGTAGGAACATTATGATGGATGTGGTAAGGTAGCTTTGAGTGTGAAAAGATGATATTTTAGAGAATTTAGGAGTAGCGCAAATACAACTTACTACAACAAGTAATTTGTGCACGGTAACAAAGAATTAAAGATGCATCAATAAGTTAAAAGATGCAATTAATGCCAAATGGATGCCAATGAAAATTGGTAGACTTGTGATACTATGGCTGAAAGTCGGTAAAAGTAAAAAAAGTGATATGATGAACACCACATGCAACAATTCGTATCAATGAATCATAAAGGCCATAAATAATTTTCATAAGGCTAATGATGAATGGTAATGTAAGTTGATTTTTCATTGGCTAAGCACACATTTAAAAAATCAATTTTGTTTGTTGAAAATTATTAGTGTTGGACTGACAAGAAAACTCTTAGAAGTGTGAAACACCTATATGTAAGAAAAGAGAATGCACATAACTTGAATTATGGAAATGTCTACTTTAGGAGCGAATATGGTGGACTATAGAGCAACTGTAAAGGGATTAAGCACGTAAAAAGGGATGTCAATATTTACATGGTTTAGTTTGATTCAACTATGTCTATGGCTACACAAAGATCAAGATATTCCACTAAGTTACAAGAGACGGCATGGAAGATTTTTTTCATATATAAGGAGATGAGTAAATTTTATCACTTTGATAATATAAAAGAAAGACAAATTTCTTTGCTATTGCTACCAATAAAAAAGAAAATATGAAGCCACTTTCTTTCCCTGGTGAGAAAACAAGCTTTCCTCTGGCCTTCCTATCTTTAGTTATCCAAGAGTTATTCAAAAACTTCCTTCTCTTTCCATCTATGCGATAAAGCATCTTTAGAGATGAAAATCTTGACGTTCTTTCTTATAGCAACTCTTGCTTCTTTCTCCCTCCTCTTGCTTCACCCAAACTCCCTCACTTTCCTTTGAACATTTTTTCTTCTTTAACTGTACCCTGGATGGTTGCTTTGGCATTGGATGTAGTTGGAAAGTCACTAGGGGGTGGTTTTTTACTTTTTAAATGTGATAATAGATAAATATGAACACTCTCCTAAGCCTAATTGCAAGAAATTAGATGCTAAATATATCACATAATAAATAGAAGATTATATAATGTTATAAACTCTCTAAAAATTGCATTAAATAGTTGTGGAATTACAAAACTGAGAATATTGCTTAATATGTTTAGGGAGATTTATTTTACGAGGGAAATTTATTTTCCACTCACATAATAATAACCCCCTTGGAAATTAATTTTTGAGGTACATGTTTAGTGTTTAGTGACTAAATACCTCTATCTGTTGCAACCCAAAGTGAATCTTCAAACTCTCAAAATACCATAGGGAGAAGTACCATGAAATTTTATACAATTTGTATTGAGTCGCTTTCAAACACCAATTAGAGGCCTAAATATGCTGATTACTCAAAAATCGATTCATTAATATCTAATGTGCATTTTGCCACTAAATTTTAGTATCTCCAAAGTAGATGTCTCTTTGCTCTCAATGTTGCATTTGGCACAACCTATCAACTTGTTAGACCATGCAACAAAAATTCACTCTCCTTTATAATCTCCAGAAATCTCCCCTCAATTTGTGCGTCATTTTGCTCTAAAACTTTTACTACAATCTTAAAGCTAATTTTCATTTGCTTTCCCAAATTATGATGTTTCATCGAAGTTATTGGACTGCTCAATATAAAATTTATTGCATCTATCTGCCTTCAAATAAATCAACTACAGTACCCATGTAGGGCATTATCATCATGGAAGACCTTGTTTCCTGCAACATTAGAACACCCAAATATATTTTTATTCTTGTTGGAGAGTTTTTTATAATAAGAGGGTTTTAATGGGGCTTATTTATTAAATATTATAGTAAGAGGGTTTTATTGGGTTTATTTGTTAAATATTATAACCCTTTTTTAAACACCTATGTTGAATGAAATAGTAAGGTTTGGCTTATTTTAAATTTGGTATCAGAGTCCAACCCTAGTCCTCTCTACCTTTGCATCACTACTCTTCTACCTGCATCATGTGAGTGAGGACTCGAGTCCCGCGTCTTATGCGGGAAATGCATTCACGACCCTCAACCTATGCGATAGACGCTTCTCGCGTATCCAGGTCTCCGCTAACATATGTCTTGGCCAACGGTGTCGTTGTCTGTCTAGGCCGCCACCACAACCTCCTTTCCAAGCTGTCGTCGCCGTTGCACCTCCTGCAGTCCTGCCGATTGAAAGGGGTCTGTGTGGGAGGGGTGATACCCCCCACGGATCCTAAGGGGAATAATATGAAGAGGATCCCGATCTTGATGATGAAATAGATCAAAATTAGGTTTAAAGAAGGAAGGGAATTGTTTGTGGTGTGTCTGACCTAAAAGGGAGTCTAGGTGATTGAAAATGACAGGAGATGGAGATGGTGTGGGGAGTAAAGGATTGCATCTTCTGGAAAAGATTGATCCTGAGGTCCTGAAGTTCCTGGTAAGGCTCATATAAGGAGCTAGTGACTGTGAACGGTTGGGTCATACATGCTTCGACGCAGTTGAAGTTAGATGTCCCTCTTGTGGACCTGAAGCTTGATGAGCCAGCCATTTATCGGAGCTGGTCACGTCGGATTGAGGTGGTTCTAGTAGGGAAGAGACTAGTGGGATATCTGACCTGGACAAACCAAAGAGTGACAGTGCTGAGAGGGATAAGTGAAGGACCACTCACGCCTTGGTTTGCACCTGACTACTCAACTCAATGGTTCCGTCAATTGCGTTCTCAGTCGATAGCATTCAAAAGGCGAGGGACAGCTGGGCTAAGCTGAAGAAGATTTACGCTTTTGGACTGAGAACCACATGAGGGTATTCCAGATTTAACGCGAGATAGAAACTGTGGCACAAGGTGAAATCAATTTAGGAATACTCAATAGATTTGGAGAGACTCTGGGCAGATCTTGATTACTTCTCACCAATGTCGGTTTATAGTGATCTAGAGTGCAAGAAAGGATAGATCTTACACAGATGAGGACTATGCAGTTTCTGGCTCATCCGACTCCGACCTTTGATCAGAGATGATATGTCCTCGCTCTGGTGACTATTCCTATATTAGATGAGGCCATTGTTGCGATGATACAGGAGAGTCGCATGAAGCTACACTCTGAGCCTAGTGATTTTTTGGGTGAATGATCAGCATTGGTTGCTTTGTAGCCCAGGTACGCTTGGTGTCCCAGACTCACAAGTGCTACAACTGTGATGAAGTTGGTCATATAAACATGACCTGTTCTAAGCCACATAAGGAGAGGGAGACTAGTGGACGTGGACAAGTTGGAGGTCGTGGTGATGGTCATGGGGGTCGGAAAGGTGGAAGAGGGGGCTACCGAGCAAGTTTGATGGTAGCAGAGGACGAGGGAGAAAAGTGTGATCTTTACTAGTGAGGATCATGAGTGTCTAGAGCTATTGAAAAGAAAACATGAACCAATAGGAGATGGATCTAAGGATGTTTCAAATCCATCGACATCAACTGTAACGTTGCCATCACGCTACCGAGCAAGTTTGATGGTAGCGGAGGACGAGGGAGAGACGTGTGATTTTTACTAGTGAGGATCATGAGTGTTTGGAGCTATTGAAGAGGGAACATAAACCAATAGGAGATGGAGCTAAGGATGTTTCAAATCCATCGACATCAATTGTAACGTCGCCATTTATGCTCACTTAGTAATGGTACTGGTGACGCATATGCTCTGCCTCTATTTTCACTACATGATCATCAAAATGGATCATAAATTTTGATGCTTCTCGTAAGGTGACAGGTACTGCTGGAGAGTTCTCTTCATATACTCATTTAGTAGTACCAGAGAGTATATTGACTGTTGATGGTACAACACAGCCTGTAGTAGGTACAGTGAGATGTACCAATCATATGGTTTTGTCCAATATTTTTCATGTTTTTTCTTTTCCAGTGAATCTCTTATTCATTAGTGTCGTTATTCTCCAGTTAAATTGCATTGTTTCTTTTAATATTCCTTAGGTGAACTTCCAAGATCAAGGCATAGGCCTGACACTTGGGACTGGAACATGGCATAGCGGACTCTTTTACTTGAACCAAGAGGGGATGGACTCAACTCTGGTATCCATGGTGGAAAGTGTTGCAGTAGGAACTTCTAGAAGGAACGTTGAGGATGTGTTACTGCTATATCACAGACGTATGGGACATTCTACTCTTAGTTTACTGAGTCGGTTGTATTCATTTATGTGTGAAAGGCAAATAAGGAGAAATTGGTGTGTGATGCTTGTGAGTTTGGCAAGCTCAGCAGGACCTTTTATGTCATTTCTGGAAATAGGAGCACTGTTGTGTTTGATTTGATACATTCTGATGTATTGGAATCTTGTCCTACTAGTTTTATAAATGGTTATCGTTATTTTGTTATGTTTATTGTTTATTTTTCTCGTATTACTTGAATATACTTGACGAAATAAAAGAGTGAAGTGGTTATTTGCCTTAAAATTTCCACAAGGCAATCCAGACCCAATATGGAGTAGTTGTGAAGGCATTGAGATCTAATAATGAGATGAATATATCAATAAAACATTTGGGGACTACTTGTCAGCTCATGGGTTACAACACCAAACCACATGTCCATACACACTAGCACATAATGGAGTGGCATCTTCTAGAGGCAGCCTGGAGTATGATGATGGTAATGAATGTCCCACAGTACTTATATGGGCAATCAATGTTGACAACCGCTCAATTGAGTAACAGAATGCGCTAAGAGTGTTGGAGTGGAAGTCTCCTTGTCATATATTGAAAGGAGACAATAGTGATATCCTTTCATTGAATGTATTTGGATGTGTATGTTTTGTGAAAGACAACAAGCCATTTGTAGGGAAGTTGGATCTTAGATCAGATGCATTGGATCTCAACTTGATTGTGAGAGGTATTAGAGGCCGGTGGGGCCCCTGATCTATCTATGTCACACTCGTCCTGATATTTCTTTTGCAGTAAATATGGTGAGTCGTTACATGAATGATCCAAGGAAGGGCCATATGGTTGCAGTGTATCATATTCTGGGATATCTGAAGAGTGTATCAGAGAAAGGATTTATATTCAAGAAGAATGGACATATCAGCCTTTCAAGAGTAGTGATATGGATACAGTTGATTGATTAATTCTTTAAATGGACAGAAGCCATCTCCCTCAAATAAATTAGAGAATTTGTTAAAGCTCTTTTAAGATTTCGTGGTGCGCCATTTTGGTGTTATATGTCATACAATATCATCCAATGACGCCTGATTTAAGAGAACCAAAGACAAAAGGAGTGCCGAACTTAAAGTTTGTAGGCCTCAATCTTTGGAGCTAATATGATGGACCACAAGTAATCGTAGAAGAGATCAAACACAAAAGGGAAACCGAGATTTACATGGTTTAATTAAATATGCCTGTATGCGTGATTGATTGAGGATCAAAATATTCAACTTACTTTAGAAGAGTGCATAGAAGATTTCTTTGTACATTAGGAAATGAGTAAATGTTACTGCATTGATAAGATAGAAGGACGATGATTCTTGCTGTTGTTGTCAGGAGCCAAGAACATGCAGCGACTCAGTGCCCCTATAATAAAATAAGCTTCCCTCTTGTCTTTTTTTTCTGTGGTATCCATGATTTGTTTAAGAACTTCCTTTTTCTTACTCTGTGCTTGAGCTTCCTCTACAAAGGCAACTCTTGATATTCTTCTTTGTAAACAACACTCATTTTAGCCTCTTCCTTCACTGTCCTACTTCACCCAGCTTCATCTATCTTCCTTGAGTATTTTTTTTCTTTTTAATATTTGTCATGAAGTTGGTGTTATTAGAATAAAAGATAAAGAAATTTACATGCATACCACACAATTCTTATGTATTTGCATATGTAACACCCAAAGTTTGATATGTACAATTATGACACCATGATGTCAAAAACTTATGCATGAAAGGGTGTATTTCACTTTTAAAAAGATAGTGCTGGCAGTCTTTTTGTTATGATTTTAAAGATTTGAATGGTATGTATGCAAATATGAATGTTTAGGTGCTAGATATGTTAATATAATAGAATTGTGTGGTATGCATGTAAATGCTCCTATAAGAGAACAGCATAACATTAAATCTTGTACCTTGTCTATGGATAGTTTGAGAGAATCTCGGTTTTTTTCAAAAGCTTTAAATTCGACTAGCTTCATGAGTTTTGACTACGAGTGTTGTTTTAAGGAGCCGAGAGATTGGATGGAAGTCTTTAGCCAAATTGAAATATGGGAATTTACGATGAATAGAGTTTTGTGGTCAAGGTTGGCAAATGAGATTATTTTAGGCCGATCATGGAAGTTTTTTAGATTTAAGCACTATTTTGAGAATATTTTGAAAATAAATTGTATCCTATAAGTGAATATCTCCATTACTCCTTTTCTTGTACTTTGGATAAGAATTAGCCTTCAGGAGTTGTGTAAATAATAATATAAAAAATTGTACAATCTTTGATACGCTTCTCTTAGCAAAGGGATGCACAAAAGTTTTATTCAGACCATTAAACCCTCCACTGTCAGTTGTGCTTCTTGAGTTGCGGATGTATAGGTTTCCTTCTGTCATGTTAATCTTAAATGATCATTTCTTATACTAACAAGTTAGCTTTATGTTAGAAATTGTTTATTCTATATCCTGTACCAATCATACAGAAAATTTAAGCCAAAATTTATTCTAAATTTGACAGTCAAAACATAAGTTAAACTTTGTATATTGTTCTGAATCTTCTCTGCCTGTTTATAAACTAATACATGTTTGTTTCAAAACAAATATATTCAATCTGAGTTTCTAACTTCCTGTAAAAACTATCAGGGGATGTCCCAAGAGTGAATGGCCAGCTAGCGGTTTCACGCGCATTTGGAGACGAAAGTCTCAAGTTGCACTTGAGATCGGATCCAGACATTCGCCCCATTGACATTGATAATGATACAGAACTGTTAATTCTTGCTAGTGACGGCCTATGGAAGGTTTTATTTTTTAAATTATAATTTTTTTTACATTCAGAACCCTTCCTTTTGTTAATTTTCTCTAATGTTTCTAGGAGTTAATTTGACTTTTATTCCTTCCAGGTTGTGAGCAATCAAGAAGCAGTTGATATTGGTAGGAAATTTAAGGACCCTCATGTAGCCGCAAAACAGTTAACCGCTGAAGCACTGAAGAAAGACAGCAAGGATGACATTTCATGCATAGTTGTTCGATTCAAAGGGTAAAAGGATTAATTTTTACAAGAAAAAAAAAAACAAAACAAAACAAGTGTCTTGTAGTTCACCAATCAAGCGGCCACATCTATCATTCCAATTACATCAGAAGCTAGCAGGACTTTGTATAATTTGGCTTCAATGGTCTCATTGCCTCTTCTGTAAATGTCTCTCTCTCTCTCTCTCTCTCTCTCTCTCTCTGGCTAGTTGTGAAGTATTATTTGATTCCTTTGAGGTTAGTTAATACACGCTTCTGTTTGTTGGATTTCTGAAGACCTGAAGGCCCTTAGATTGCAAGGTGGGGGATCTATTCAGCTTAATGGATTGGAATTTTAAAGAGCAGTTTGTCTATTGTCCTCATAAAATATATTTGTCATTGCAGTATGTTGTATTAGCAAAAAAGCACATTCTGTTGGTTCCAATTAATAAAAGCCGGATTTTTGTAAGTTTTAGTTTTATTATGAGAAAAAAAAAATGAGGATGCAGTTTGTGCAATAATTATTTAGGACTGAAATCTGAAAGTTTTGTAGCTGGATGATTATTATCCTAATTCTTTTCCTGTAACATTTTCTCAACCAAAATATGTTTTGCTTTGCATTTTAATGTCAACTCTTTTACAATATAATATATGAGTGGTTAAAGTAAAAAAAAAAAAACCAAAAAGTTGAACCGAAGAAATCAGGTTTGGATCCGGTTTGGTTTTAAAAATGTGTTAGTTTTTTTTATTTTAAAAATTGTAATGTTCAGTTTTTAGTTATTTGTTCGGTTTGAAATTCATTTAATTGAATAAACTGAGAAATTAAAATTTTATTTACATTTTTTATTGTATTTTAAGAGCATTTACATAGTTTCTAATTCGTAGGTATTTCTATATGTAACTCCTAAATTCTACTTTTAATAATTATGCCACTTTAAATTTTCATATCTTATTAGAAATATCACCATTAACTTAAATGACATAGACACTCTCAAGTATATGTGTTGTGCCATTAATATAAAAATTGAAGTTAAGGTGTTAGATATATAAATACATAAGCATTAGTGGTATGTAAATTTTTTTACATTTTAGTTTTATATTGAAGTTTATAGCATATGCTGATAAAATAAATGAAGATTCATGAAATTAAATTGATGCCATACATTTAAGATATATAATTTACTTCTTGTGGTTCTTAATCAAATTTTATTAAGCAATTAAATTTTAGTTTATTAATAATTGAACCGTTTAATTCAAAACATTTAAAACATTAAACTTTTATTCGATCGATTTGATGATTTGATTGTATCAAAATTTTAGTTGGTTCAATTTTTCATATTTTGAATTTTAATTGCAATTGATTTAATCAATTTACAAATTGATCCATCCCCCCTCTTTACTATTTTCATTCTTTTTTTAATTCAAGTGCATACTTTTATTTTGTTAGTGAGTGGTTGTAAATAACTGGATATAATTTCAATGCAGCATTATTCATGCTGCTTTGAACGGCAAGATTTAATAAAAAATAGGTAAAAATGAAACGATAGTTTTTTTTACATTTAATAATCCCAACTTTTCACCACAAGAAAGAAGCAACTGCTCAGCACCTGCGTCATGCCCAATGGTACATTATTGAACTTTTGAGATTTGAATGACATAAATATAAAAATATTGATCCTACCACTGTTGTTTTTCCTTTTATTTTCATTGGGACAAATCTACTGCTTTGTCAGATCTGACTGACGAACATGTGCTCCGATTCTGAAGCAAATGTTGAAGCAACTTAAGAACATTATGACCATCTTAATGGTCTTAAGATAATACATCAAGATTTTTAGGGACAGTAATAACAAACACACGCATTAACATCCTTTAAGGATTTGTCATATACACATTTATTTATATTCATTCAACAACACCGCTACAAAACGCTCTTTAGAATCATAAACCTTTCACAAACCTAATCACACTTAAGAATCAAACATTATCAGGGTCATCTGTTTGTTGACTTACCGCAAGCTCAGCACCAGGTCGATCATGGCCGCTCAACTCTGATGATCAGAGAGAAGAAATAAGCAGATGTGGTTAAGCAAAGTGCGAGAAACCAAAGATTTTATATGCTAAACACTTACGTCCAAGATCATGTCAGTGGCTTTAGATTGTTGTTCACCTACAATTCAAAACGAGTACCAATGCATGAAGATAAATGCAACTCGAAACCATGCACAAAAAGGGAGCCAAAAATTAAAATAAATTGCCAAGGACCGATAATTCAGCTTAGACACCACTTGGGAAGAAATTATTACGTATAAAGGACAATATATTTACAGACAATGGTGGACGGGGAGGCCACATTACACACATGAGGCTGTCACGGACAAATAATCTCACATCGGCTAGATATAGGGCCGAAAAACAGTATTTAAGTCTTGGGCTGCCCACCACCCATAAGAGCTCTTTTGGGAGGTCATAGGTGGTATCATAACAGATTACTGTCTGTCAGGTGTGTGGGCTCTCCATGGTCCATTGGGTCATATTACACACATGTGAATTTGTGGCGACGTGACCTCCCCATCTACCATTGTCCGTACATCCTTTTTATATAATAGTCTTAAGAACTTTTGTCATTTGTGCCCTGCAAAAATTTATTTAATATTCTATATTGTATACACACGCCAATAGTATTTTTATAAATAAAAATATTAAGATTGAGCAGACCTTGAAGCCAGTTCGAGCAGATCCATGTGTGGCTCGAAATCAACTCGAAAAAAATTCAATTCATGCTTGAGATCATAGCTCAGTTCAATTACTTCGATCCAATCTCAATTTGAACCAAAACTTAAATCTATTTTCGAACTATTAATGTTCTTCCAGCTAAATTTTCAACCCTATGCACACGTGTCTTATCAGCCATTTGCAAGTAGAGTTATGTACATAATTTGCAACAAATAATTTTATGTATATGGAGTATCATAATTTCCATTTATGAAAAAGTATAACCACAAAAAGCATTTTTGGTGATGTTGATGAGCACAAAATGCCAGCAATCATGGCTTTTACAGCCACATGGTCGACAAAAGCTACACATCACATGGCAGGGGTGAGCCCCATTTTTTGCCATTCAAAAACAAAAGAAAGAAAGAAAAAAAATCCATTAAATGTAAGAAATTAGGGATCACACTCTGGAGCTGTCAAGTTCTAATTGAATGCGCCAAAAGTAATACCAACCAAAACATAACAATTACATAGGCTACCAATTAAAAAACAGAGACTAACTGCTTCGGATCAGACTTGGAACAAAGGGGACGTCCTAGTGCAAACATGTGTACTGCAGGTACTGATTGGTGGTTATAGGTTAACAAGAGTTATTAAGTAGATCGATTTTTTTTTTTTTAATGACCGTCTAATTTATGATTGTCAACTTAGAAAACCACCGTATTATGATTGGTCTCTCTATGTGATTTAAGAGTAAGATTATGTTCATGAATAATTTACAATGGGAAGAAAAACAAATGCACTAAAGTAGTATTGTAGGTCAAACTTCCATCAATTTTTATCCATTTTTTTGCTAACAATCAATGTCAAACATCCGCCGGCCAGTGGCATCTGAAACCAATATTTTTGATTGATTGAGCTTTTCTTCCCTAAAGAGAATGATCGAAACGACCGTAGTTGCTTGACTAATTTTTCTCATTGAACGTTGAGGGACACATGCCGATGACCGACATACGATACCCCTCGATCACAATTGCTTGGCATTCCCTTGTATTAGGACCAAGCTAACCATTAATTATTGCATGATTTCCAACATTCCTCATCTACCAATGCTTGCCAACCTACATCCTATGTCTATTAGTCACCGACACTCGATGTTCATTTTGTCAGCAATGCATTGTCCCCTTTATAAGGACAATGTCCAAGCTAATTACCCACAATCTCCTAACTTCTGATGTTTTCCACAAATGATAGTATGATATTTGCCAATGACCAATGTCTGATACCATGTCTTATTGATCGCAACACCTCCTTTTATTAACAGGAGTTGACTGTATATAAATGTTTGATTTTTTTACATTTTTTGTTGACCGCTGTCTAGCACTTAACAATAACAATTATTTTTTTGTTTGTCAACCACAATGTCCAACACTGTTATTATGCAAAGCATGATTGTATTAATCAATTGTTCACTCAAAGCCTTCAGTTTTGCCGATCAAGTTGGTCCTGGTATTGGGTTTGGGGGTGACGGTGCCCTGAATTTTTTTTACTATATACGCCGCAATGCCCAACATAAGTTTCAGAGCTCGAGAGCAAAACATTCCAACACTTGGAGGAAAGCGCCGCAACGGCAGATGCAGCACCCTAGCGCCTTGACTTGCAGCACCACAACACCCAGTCGAGATTTTGGAACCTGAGAGCAAGACACTGCAGCGCCCCAACGCCTATCAGAGCATCACAACGTCATATCGCAGTGCCTTGCACCAGTAACCAATTTTTGGGAAGTTCTTACTTATTTTGTCATTTTTTTCAATGAGAAAATAAATTGAATTACGAGTTTTCTTGTGTGCAAAGAAAAGGAGTGCCCTAAAGTGTTCCAAAAAGTGGAGAGGCTTAGGTGTGGTGTAATTTGTATAATTCTCCTCATTTTTCTTCATAGTAAATTTCTTCGTGTGATGTGGCTCTGTGTTTTTTTTTCAATTCTCGAGATTTACCTCGTTAAATTTTGTGTTCTATGTGTTTTCTATGGTTTATTGATTTGTGCGCTTTTGTTTGAAGTTTTACTTCAAATTTATCGAATAAGTTTCTGTGAATTTCTTCGCATCTCCCCCAGCACACACGCTTATTGAATGTCCGATATTTCATCCTTTTAGGAGAATGATTAAAACCACTCATCAAAACCTGGCTTTTAGCATTCCTAATTGAACATCGCCTAACATATGACAAAAACTGCCTCATTACATTTGTCGATGAATCTCAAATTTAGTGAGGCAATGCTTGTCAAAGTGAAAGGGGACATCCTTCTCTAACAAGTGGCATAGAAGTGTAGTGATCTTGGGAAAGTCCTTAATATAATGTTGGCAGAACTCTACGTGTCCTTAAAAACTCCTAATTCACTTGAATTTTCACTGGATCTACCTCTATCGCCCTCAAAAATTATATCCCAAGCCAATAATTTCCATCACCATGAATTGGAACTTTTCCCAGTTCAAAAATAACTGAGCCTCCTCACACCTCCACAATACTTTGACAAGATTCTCCACATATGAGTCAAAGGAAAGACCAAACACCGAAAAGTCATTCATAAAAATCTCTATCCCTTTCTCAATTAGATTAAAAAAATAGGCATAATGCAACGCTTGAAGGTAGATGGCGCATTGCAAAGTCTAAATGACATCATTCTAAAGACAAAGGCCGGCTTGTGAATGAGGTCTTATCTTAGTCCTCAGGAATTATGGGAATCTGGTGGTAACCTGAAAAGTCATCTGAAAAATAAAAGAAAAGGTGGTTGACTAGTTTGTCCAACATTTGATCAAGAAAAAATAGAAGAAAATTATCCTTCGTAGTTGCAGTGTTTAGTTTTATATAATCAACACAAATTTGCCACACAATAATACTTCTCATGTGTTTCAACTCATTCTTCTCATTTTGCACCATTGTCACTCCTCCCTTCCTGGGAATGCAATGATTAGACTCACCCATACACTATCTGAGATGAGGTAGATAATTTTTGCATCCAACTACTTCATCATCTCTTTCTTAAATGTCTACATCATAGGGTTAAGTCTCCTCTGTGGGTCAACCTTGGGTTTATGGTTCTCTTCCAGAACTCGAAAGAATTTCCTTTTAAATTCACAGGGGCTTAGACTCAAGTAGAAATTCAAACCACACCACAAAATATGATCGCATAGATTCAAGAAAAATCGGAACAAACTTACGAACAGAAGCACAACAAAGCAAATAAGAAAAAGATACAAGAATTTAATGTTAAAAAACCCGAGAACAGAAAAAAACTACAAAGTCACACCACCATAAGTATTTCACTACCAAAATCAGATAGGAAACACACTCAATTTCCTCTGCTCTCAAGAAAACTTACAAAACCTCGCACTAAGTTCTTCCTGATTTGATCTGACGCAAAAAACACATGTTGAAATCACTGAAATCCTCATCTTTGACACTTTTCACCTTTACGGGAACTTTGTTAAAGAACCTTCACACAAGAAGCACACAATACGTCGCAGAAATTCGGTCGTTTAAATAAAAGTTACGAACCAACTACTCCGAGACTGTAGATGCCTAGACTTGGCGCCTAAGCGCCCTGGCCTAGAGCAAACCGAGCTACGTGCCTAAATTGGGCGCTTAAGTGCCCAATATTGGGCGCCAAGGCACCCACTCCACTGTCCAACACTCAGAGTGGGCACTTGAGCGCCCATAACTCGGCGCAAAAGCTTCAGGCGCTCGGTCCATTGCATGTTGTTGCTCTCCAAATCAAGTTCCACTCCTAATAATCTCCCACTTGAAGACTAATAGACCCCAACACTAGTCTTTTGTACCTATACCTCCATCTAAATCACCTTCATAGTCAAATACCGTTGTGTGGCTCACTCCTGGTCTCAACCTTCATGAAACTCAATTGAAGCCAAGCATGACTTTAATTTCTCAAAAGCCACCACCTTCGTCACATGTTCGTAAAATTATGAGCTATGTATATCTTCTCCCGGAATAACTATCCATCTTCAAAGGGTGAATAAAATAATACCTCAACTGAATGTGTTTCATCCTGACATGAAAAGTAGCGTTCTTAGCAAGATGAATCACATCACACTATCACTTTGAAGCTTTCTGATCCCCTCATCCTTGTTCAATTCTTCCATGAAACTCTGTAGCCAAATCATCTCTTTGGAGCCTCGGTGATAGCAATATATTTGACCTCCATAATTGAAAGTGCAATGACTGCAACCTGGGAACCCAACTAACCGTTGTGTTCCCCAATATAAAGATATACCCTATTGTATTTTAATTGTTCACATCTTTTGTCAGATCGAATCTACAAATCCCTGTAGATTGATCCCTGCACTTTCATAACAAAGTTCTCTATTGAGTATTCCCCTCAAATACTTGAGAATCCACTTCACCGTCTCTCAATGATGTCAACCTGGATTGCCCATATAC